CTGGCTCATCTCTTGTGGCCCTTCTGTAAAGGGATTTCCAATTGTCTACAGATGGACTTTGGGTCTCCACCCCCCCAGCCCTCACATTGGTATGATTTTGTTCTGGGGCTGAGATGCCTGACACTTTATGGGGGTGGGAGGCCTCATCCTTCCCCTGCAGAGCAGTTGGTGGGTTCAGCTGACCTGTGGCTAGCTGTTCAATGTTCAACCCACTATATCACCAGTGACCTTGGATCTTCATCATAGGAAGAACAAATACAAAAAGCACAAAAAACCCAAAAAACAAATCCAAACTCACTGCCGTCGAGTCAAATCTGACTCTTAATGACCCTATAAGACAGGATAGAACTGCCTCTGCGGGTTTCTGAGGCTAGCTGTTTCTGGAAGTAGGAAGCCTCGTATTTCTCCCAAGGGACAAGTAGAGGTTTCAAACTGTTAACCTCTTGATTAGCAGCCCAAAGTATAACCCACTACAGACCACAGCTCCTTTCACAGGAAGGAGCGTGGCATGCCTGAAGAACAGACAGGTGGTCAGTGTGGCTGGAGGGTGGTGAGCGATGAAAAGATGAGACCCAAGAGTTAGGTAGGAGCCCAGGTGTTCCTACCTGTGGACCACGGGAAGCAATGATTGTTTTTCTTTTCTAAATTAATGGAAGACATTAAGCGGGGCTCTGCTATGGGGTAAGTGCTTTATCTACACTATGGGAGTGGCTGAATATTCCTTCAATCTGCCTGAGAACCTCAAAACAGGTGTCCCGCTCACTTTGTAGATAAAGAAAGGAGGCACAGGAATCTATGTGCTGAAATGGTGAGGAATAGTGTTCAGGAAGCAAGGCCCCACCAATTCTGTTCTCTCCTCTGCTCTACACAACTTTTTATCCCTTGGCTTTTGTTCCAGGTCCCAACTGTTGCCTCATCGAGGAAGGACCAAGGAGAAGTGTTGGTTTGACGTCATTTTCAAAGGGGTGGGTGGGCAAGGGCAGCTCTCCCCTGAAGTTGGTGGCTCTGGAAAGATGTTAGGTATAGTCGAAAGGCTGCTTTGAAATGGCTCGGAAGGTACACAGTAGATCCCCATGCACAGAGGGGGGCAGGGAAGCCCCTTGGGCACAGGACGAGCAAAGAGGAAAATACCAAAATACAAACTCCCAGGCTGGGAGGGGAGCAGCAAGATCCCCAGGGAATGATGAGGGTGGACTTTGGGGACAGGGCGTGGTGCCCCAACAGGCTGGACTGGAAAACACTCTTTTTTTTTTTTTAACATTTTATTA